TATGGGCAAAGTTTTCTATCAAAACTCGAAATTTTAATTTTATAGGAAAATTCTAGTAAAATATCGATATCTCAACGTGTGTCCATATCTTCTTCGGCTTTTGCTAGTCTATATCCTCCTCGGTTATTTACTATAGCCGTAAGATCAACAATAATTCTCTTTAGTATATCTTCAAATTAGAATATAATAATGTATTACCCTATCTATAAGTTTCGATTTTATTCTTCGATTATCTGCCGTTGTTTCAGTTAACATATGATAAGGATTTCCAAGAATAACTGATTGATCAATAGTATTAATCGATGATGATAATTCATATTCAATTTGTTTTTCAGAAAATCTCGATGAATCCAACCATAAGAAACGTGGAAGTATTTGTAGGAATACTTGTCGTACCCAAGCTGGCATTGTATGTGTTGTTGGTGTACGATAATAAAAATTTGTAATTATTACTGTATTTACTTTAAAGAGACAAATATAAATTTTAAAAAAAAGAAAATCTTAGATTTATTTTTCTTCTTACTAATAACAAGAACATTGAGTGAAAATGTAAAAAGTAGATATTTAGCTATTAATGGAACAACAGCTGATGTTGGTGGTAAAATTTTTGTAACAAGAAGTTGAAAAAGATTAAGTGCTAATAATACTGACATACATAATGTCATTTTTTCACCAGCTGCTGTCGGTAAGCAAAATACAATACATATAAGAATACTCATTAAACCTGTTGGAACAATAAGATTAACTGTATAATACAACGCTTTACGTCTCATTTGAATTAAAAATACAATTTCAATATAATCCGGTAATACATTTGAAATATTTGAACGGTAATGAACAAATTTACTAGGAATCTAAATAAAAATCGTATTCTTTTGAAAGTTAACATTAGTATTTGATTGATAGTAATATTAACTAAACATGTTTTTCTACCTTGAAAATATCTGTCAAATAGTTGATCTAACTAGAAAAATATGTTTTTGTTAAGCTGGTTAGAATCAATGAATGAATAACTAACATATGATTATCTCTTAGATAATGTCTGATATTCTTCTCTAATAAACATACAGATTGAATATATTAATCAAGCAGAATGTAATTAAAGATGATGGAAGATAAACATAAGATATTAGAGAAGCTAAAAGATTTCCCCAAGTAAATAGATTATTAGCAATTCTATGATTTAAACAACTTATTTTATCGTTATATATTAGAGGTTAGTCTAAGTTTAATATGCAAAAGAAAAAATTCCATTTATAAAATGATCGATATTGTTATAATTTACTTAAAAATTATTTTATATATGCGATGATGCAATCATTTCCGATCTTATATGAGCATACTTCCTTGTAAAAATTAACTGAATGATGGATGGGACAAATCTTTTATAAGATTAAGTCAATTAAACATAGTGATCCATAAGTTATGCAAAACATACTTTTGATAAAAACGATGTTTTACTCAGTGAAAATAAAAAATTAAATTAAATCAAAATTTTTCTTACACCAATGACATCCCATGTACCACTTTCAAGATAATCATCTTTATATAATTCATCACTAGACGCACTATATACTTGTTGTGGTAATAATTTTGTTATATCACTTCGTTGTTCTTTTTCTTCGGTATAATGTGAAAACATAACTTCACGTGCATTATATGTCCATGATGCAAAACGCATTTCACATTCTTGTGTATCAAATGGAAAATATTTAACATCAATACGACATGATGATTTATAAATTGCCGGTGGTACCCAATGAACAACACCTGTATGCATAAGTACAACTTTACATTTAAATGATACTTCATAATTTCCATCTAAATAAAAATTTCAATGAATATCAAAATAAATTATTTCTATACCTGCATTATTGAATAAAACAACATCCTAAAAAATATACAATCAAAAAAAAATACAATTTATCTTCATTAGATTGATTATTTACCGGCGTCCAAACATATGAATAAGGAATATTAATTTTATCGATACCTCCTAAATAAATTTATTTTAAAAAGAAAAAAAAGATTTTTTTTCTAACCATATCGTTGTGGATTCCAACGTAATTGTGGATCATACCTATAACAATTAGCATTAAATTATATACATTTTGCATTATAATGTAAAATATTTAAAGCTTAGAAACAAGGATTTATATCTTAACAGATGCATATTTTAAAGAGTAATTTAACCTACTACATATACCATCCTGCTATTTCTCTTCTTCGATTCAAAAACTATTTATAGTTGACTTTCTATTAAATTTAAAATATACCATTTCATATGTAACCATGTATTTGTTTTCATAACTTGTTCTTTTTCATAAACCTAAAAATATATATTTCGGAATTTTTTTGATTTAAGATAAAAATTTTACATGAATTAATTGTACTAATAAAAGACCAAATGATACAACAACTGTTTCATTTGAATATTGTGTAGGTCGTATAAGTGGATTATAATCTTGTTGAGAAAATAAATAATGTATTAAACGATGTTCATCTTCGGATGTTTTAATCAATCGAAATAAAATACCAATAATAATAATAATTAAAATACAACCATAAGACATTATTATGAACTAGAAGACAAGTAATAGAATAACACATATATATATATATAGATAGATAGATAGATAGATGAAGCGAAAGTAAGTATAATAATAGGCGATAAAATACAGATGGTGTGTCAGCTGTGATTAAGATAATCATAAAACTAAGTTCTAATAGAAAAGACAAAGAATCATTCGTGCAATGAGATTGTTAATATGTTTGTTATAGTTAGCTCGAACGTTTGTCTTCCGTCAGTACTTAAGAACTCGCGGTTTCTTTAATTATTTTCTTCGTATTTTTATAAGTGGATAACAAATGTCTTTGTTTCTTTTTTTCCCTTAGGAAAAAAAGCAAAAGGACAATAGTAACAAGAGAAATTATATAATAAAATATATGTTCGTCTACAATAATCAAGATCGATCCGACAAGAG